CTCAGGCCTAAAGACATTCACAACAGTTTATGGGCCAGGAGTTACAGATATGATTATGCTGGAGGAATTAAAATTATGCTTGCTTCCCTCCTTGGCATTGTAACTGTACCTGCTGGCAAAGGAATTCCTCAACTTGTTTTAGTTCCTTTGCATCTGCTTTCTTCCAAATTTGTTGAGAATGAGAGAGGACAAGATGGCTTTGGTTCCTCTGATGTGTATTGGGTCCAATCTATCACTAGCAAGAGACCTAATCTTAACCCAATAGTTGAAGGAAAAGGTTTTGAAGGATTAATAGATACTGAGGCTGATGTAACAATTATTAGAGGACAAGATTGCCTTCAGCTTGGTTTTTATCTGATACTCTCACTCAGCTAAAAGGAGTTGGTTATTCAATCAATCCAAAACAAAGTTCAAATTTAAGATTTATGAAACTAATGTGCCATTACAGCCTGACTTGCCTACTCTGGTTGCCATTCCAGTAAGTACACATTGAACTATTATAGATCTAAAAGATTGTTTTTATACTGTTCCTTTACATCATGGTAAAGGTGATGAGGTTTAAACTCAGTGAGTTTGCATGTGATTTTTGAGAGCCCATGAAGCGATATCATTAGAAAGAATTGATCATTAGAATTATATGATTAATAGTCATATTAAAAATTTGTTGTTGCTTTAATACAAAAAGTTAAGCATTTAAATCTCTCAGTGTATATTATTCATTGTGTATTTTATTAGCTGATCTCTCTAAAGGAGTTTTCTGCAAGCCTTTGCTCTAATACAATGAGCTTAAAAATTTTAGAGTGCTTATCACTCCAGAAAAGATTCAAAAGCAATATCTTTTCAATATTTGGGCACAGAAAATTTCCAATAGGAACGGATAATTGGGGCTGAAGAGATGGCTCAGCCGTTAAAGGATAGGCTCACAACCATAAATATTAGAGTTCAATTCCCAGCAACCACATGGTGCTCACAATCATTTGTAGTGCGATCTAGTGCCCTCTTCTGACTTGCAGGTGTACATACCAAAAAAAATGGTTTACTTTTAATGATTCTCAAAAGTTGTTAGGAGATATTAATTGGCTAAAACCCCATCTTAAGCTTATCATAGGAGGACTTGAACCTCTGTTTGATATTCTCAAGGGGGATACAAATCCTAATTCCCATCAACAATTAACTGATGAGGGATAGACAGCTTTGAGTAAGTTATTAGTTACCAAAAGATAAATTATATAGACTATGATCAATTGTTGGCTGTTTGAGTTATTTCTACTTATATGCTCCCAACAGCCTTTTGGCAAGAGAAACCATTAATGTGGATTCGTCCTTCTTCATCTACAAGTAAAGTTTGAACATCCTATTATTAAATGATTGCAGTATTAATACAGGATTGTAAGATAGAATCCTGAAAGTATTTTAGGTGAAATGTATATTCTTTATTCCAAATAGAAATTAAGTTGGTTATTGGAGAATGATATTTGGCCTATTACAAGGCAAACTTTTTAGGCAAAATTTGGTAATTATCCATAAGATAAGTTGTTACAGTTTTTCTCTATGCATGCTTTTGTATTTCCTATAAGTTTGCATGCAGCCTATAGAAAAAAAATGTTTACTGTATTTACAGATGCCTCATCTATTGAGAAGGCAGTATATGTAATTATATCACATGTTCATTTTCTTGAGTTTTCCCCTGCATCAGCACAAATAACTGAATTACATGCTGTAGCCACTGTTTGAAATGCTGAAAAATCAAGCTTTCAATTTGTATACTCATAGCCAGTATGAGGCTCATGGTTTATAATTGCTTAAAATTGCTCCTTTTTTAGATATTACTAATTCTCAAATTGTATAGTTATTTATACAAATACAGCTTAATTTAAGAAACATGTACTGTTTCTTAACTTTATAAGACATTCGAGAGCTCATATTGGATTGCCTGGACCCCAGGGCAATGCCACAGCAGATTTGTATACCAGGCAGATTATAGACCTTATAGAAACATTTGGCCATACAATCTTATTCTTTAAATCATCAAAATAGTAATAGCCTGAGACAGTAATTTGATATTTCTAGAAAGTGTGCAAGTTGAATTGCAAAAACTTGTTCTCAGTGTCCTCAAATTTTTCATAATGGTGTTAAGCCTTGAGGGCTTGTATGTAATCATATTTGGCAAATGGATGTAACCCATTATGCAGAATTTGGAAAATCGAAATATATACGTCTGTATTGACACTTGCTCAGGATTCCTTTTTGCTTCTCTTTTTCCTTTTCTTTTTGCACATGGGAGAAGACTCTAGAAATGTAATTGATCATTGCTTACAGCCTTTAAAACTATGGGATTACCTAAAGTCCTCAAGACAGAAAATGGACCAGCCTATACTGGAAACAACTTTATATCATTTTGTAAAGAATTTGGTGTTGAACACAAAACTGGAATTCCTTATAGCCCAATGGGACAAGGAATTGTTGAACGTGCACACCACACTCTAAAAAGTTGGCTCCTTAAAACTAAGAGGGGGGGAATTATACCCTCCAAGGTCACCAAAAGCATATCTTGCTTTTGTGTTATTTGTTTTGTATTTTCTGCAAACTGATGCTAAAGGTCAGTCTGCAGTTGATCACCACTGGCATCCGGTCACTTCCAGCTCAATTGCCAGGGTCATGTGGAGAGACCCCTTAACTAATACTTGGTGTACTCCTGACCCTGTTTTAATTTGGGGCCATGGCTCAGTCTGTATTTTTTCAGAAAAAGAGAATAGAGCCCATGGGTACATGAAAAATTGGTCCGTCAAGTGGACACAGATCTTGAGCCTAATGATTATGATTCTAATGATGAACATGGATCTATATCCTTATCAGCCAGCTGATTTAACCTGGCATGTAGTCTCTGCTCTTATTGGAGAGTAAGTTTTTTATCAATACTTAAAGCCACCCACTATATACCTGGTGGCCAGACTTGTGTCTGATCTCTGTCCACTGCCAGTTGGATTAGATACTGGAATATTTCCACTTTCAACCTTAATTTCTACTTTGCTTGGATAATCATGTTGCTTTTAACCTTTGAACCTTGTATCTTAAGCAGATTAAATGCCCTCACACAGGATCATTCTCAGCAAGCTCAGTTTTCATCATGGCAGTTTACACATTGCTGTGAAGAACTGCATCTAGGGCATGCCCACAGGTCCTTTGGTCTGAATGTGGTTTTGGTCTTATGGGAAAGAGTATGCCAATGAGGGCCAGTTAGTCAAAGATGGGTAAGAGTGTTCTTGAGCTCCTATAAACCTAAGACAGAGGCATACATCAATATGCTATGTATGTTCCTCGAAGGTAATATAGGAGTAATATAGATACCGACCTAAGCCAAGCATGGTCACCTGGCCACTCGAGACCCTAGATGGGATGAAATATTGTAACTAAAAAGGGGAAATTGTGCCCTTCCCCAGCCTTGAGCAGGCCTGAGAGACCTTGTTTACCACAACAGACCAAACAACAGGACTCCAGAGGCATTGCCTGCCTTGGCGCCTCCTTGGTAGCCTGTAGCCTGGTACACAAGCTGAGAAGAATAGACTGCCTGATGAGCTTGCCTTGAGACATCTCTGGTCTGTGATTAAGGATGGATTCCCCTCACTCCCAGTAGGATGGATTCCCCTCACCCCCAGCAGACTGAAGCAAGAAGAAACTCTGGGGGTGGGTGTGGACTTTCCCCTTTAAATTGAAAGATGAACATTAAAGCATTGAGCCTCAATCAGAGACCTTTGTCCTGGCCTCATCTCTTCTCACCCTCCTGCCCCTTCTTCCATTCCCAGCCTCTCTTTCAAGTGAACCCAGTTGACTGTGGCCGCTGGCAGGCAACACTTGGCCAGTAAGGTCTAGGGGGAGGGATGGGCTTACCTGGGGTCCGTAGTGCCAGCAGACCTCCAAGAAATCAAGTAGAATTGTGGTGCAGTAAATGCAGCTCAAGATATTGCTCACTTGATTTTCATCCTGACCCATCACTTCTTTTTGAAAGAAATCTCTGACCCTCACACACAAGTGAATAGAAGTATTGGGCCACTTCCTTTTCAATCAGGGTCTTCTAATCATGTGTACTCTTCACCGTGGCATCTACTTTTGGCGCTATTCCAGCATAGAGCTTTTGTATCAACATCTGTAGCTACTCTTTAGCCAAATCACCTTTGTTTTATAGGAAGCTCTGGCATGTCATGTATCGAGAATGGCCAAGGAACTACACAATTCTTCACTGTCTGTGAGCTTTCTCCAACCATATTAAGGTTTCAGAATCCAACACCCTGTCACAAATCAATTTTTCTTAATGACCCAGAAAGTCAGATTGTTTTCCAAGGCTGCAAATGCAGAGAGCTGCTTACAGCAATGTCTTTTCTGGCTACTCAGGACTGTCAGTTTTAATTTTTTCCTTCCTCTGTCTAGGTCCTAGTTATTGCTGCATCCATTTTATAACTTCACAAAAGCATTTACTTTCTTTCTTGACTCTTTACTAAGCAAATGTATGTCATTAACCTAAAATGCTTATAAGATTCTGAGCAATATTCTTTTCCATATGTGGTTTCATTAGTGATGCCAGTGAATTAAGCTCTCAGCTTCATGTTCTTGAGATGTAATCTAGGAACATTTTGATAAACATCTTCTAATCCCTCTATTTTACCACAGACATTCTTGAGCATGCCCAAACTCTCCGGACAACTGACCAGTTGCCAGGAGTCTGGCACACAAACTGAGAATTTCAGGACAGTGGGCCTGGCCAGCAAAGCACACAATTAGGAATAGAAATCTTCCCTTTCATGTCATCAAGATGAGTTTCTTTTCTGTGCTGTGAGGCAACTTGAACTGCTGATGCACGGGGCTGCTTCTCTGGAGTGGCTTGGTCATCTCTGAGTCAGGGCCAACTCCATGCATTCAAAGATGCTAAAGTTCAGATTAGCAGAACTATATCACCAGGCAACTTTTCTGTTCTGCCAATGATACGCAAATCAATAGTCATCTGCTCCCGAAATGAAATAAACTTTATGAAGTAACACTCAAACTGTCATATGACATTGGAAACTGGGGATTGGCTTCTAGACTCTGCTAACATGAGTAATAGGGAGGAGGTAAAGAAAAGTCATATAACTTAGGGTCACATAGTCACAGGGTTTTGATTAGTGGGAACAAAACAGACATTTTCTGAAAATGGTGAATGAAAAGAAGACCCCAAGGGATATCATGCTACTAAGTCCAGTGGAAAATATTACCAGGTCAATAAAACAGCAGAGGCCAGTGTATATAGCTCAGTTCAAATGCAACTGCTTCGGTGTCCATTAGCCTGAAAAGATCATCCTCAGGAAACCAGGAGACACAAAAAGATTCAGAAAATCCGAGGAAAAGTGGACACAAAAAACAAAGAAAGCTTGAGAGGGCCTTGTTCCTATAGTGCTCTGTAGGCAAGCATGATGCAAATGTAGCAGATATAGAGATCATGGCTTTGATATTTAAGCTGATGTGAATGAGAAAGAAACAGATAATGAGATTTTTACCATTTCTTAAGCTACAGGTCAAGAGCTGACATGTAGATGCACCTCACCTATTACTTATGACCAAAATCAGCTTGGAGAGGTAAGGGTTCATTTCATCTTGTAGGTTGTGATCCATCATCTTCGGAACTCAGGTCTTGTATCCCATGCCTTGCTCAATGTGTTCTCTTAGATAATCCAGAACTACCTGGCCAAAGAAAAGCATGAGGCAAGACATCTGCAACAATGCCCTGTGCAGATCTTAAATATCCTTCCCAGTCCACTCTTCCCAGATGGCAGTGACATGTGTAATGGTAGCCAGTCGAGCACTTGCCATTCTCATCACTCAGTCCAAGCTGATTTGGTGAGCTCATCTTTGGTCATTTTATGTGTACACCTATCTTCAGAAATAAACTCTATAACCCAGATACACTGCTTAAAAATAGCATGATCCAGCAGCACTTCATCAAGCCATGTTCCTTACCTAGGGGGCAAAGCATTTCTACCATGAGGAAATGGTGACTGTGAAAAGCAAAAGCCAACTGACTCAAGGGCAGGAGCCATTGACCATGAAAGAATGTACACAATGATAGAGTGGAAGAAATGCATGTAAGCTTAAAAGCAGAAGTTGTTTAGGGACCTTTGGCATAATTGATGATTCTATGCAATCATGAATACTCATCATACAACAGGCATTTACTGAGTACCTAGTATACACCAGGCACTGCTTTGGGTGCTGTTAACTAAGCAAGTGGTCTATCCAGAATCTGATTCCAATCAGTGGACAGTTTTCCACACACCATCCTTGTGCCTAAAACACTAGGCACTAAGAGCAAGTGAAGCAATCAACTATGTAAAGACATCTTAGGATTCTTGCCCTCTATGCTGGAGCCTCTAGATGGGAAATTTGGGGGCCCTGTAGGGAAATGGGTAGCCAATAGCAGGAGCTATGGAGGCTCTTGGTGGACTGAGCCCATTGCTCACCTTCTGGGGACTGAGGATAGCAGTTGCCTGTGGTGGTGCTGGGTTAACAACATCCACAGGGTTAGAAGCCTTAATGATTCAAAAGCTGGCACTTCTACTGAAGAAGGTGCTAGGCTTTGAAAAGATGGAGCCTTAGGAGCCAGTTCAAGTGCGAAGGTGAGAATTAGGAATTCACAAATCTGAAAAACCCTGCATCTCTGTAAGGGTTTTCAGGGAAGTTACCAAGATGGCCCAATCCCTGTAGCAGGTCTTCCTTGAGGTTTACAGGGTTCATTAAGCTTTTGTTTTCCCAGGATCCTGGTGAACTTGCTGAATATCAACAAGGTTCCACTCCCCCGGCTATCTTCCAGATGCTGAAACCTATGTCAGCCACTGGCAAGCAAGCCTCAGAAATGGTTTTCCTTACCTCTGTCCAGATCAGAGACCCAAGATTAGAGGTGGGCTGAATAATTCCAGACTACAGTCACAGGGATGAGAGAGAGGCAGAGAACCCAAGGCCACCTGGACTCAGACGGCCTCATCCTGTCTGGGTGCCACTTCCTAGGGTCTGCAGACCAATCTACTTTCCAGAGACCTTGGGATTGTTCTGCTGGATGATGAGGCAACACGGTAAACTGTTGGGAACATGGCTTCAGCCTCTTCAGCACTGTTCCTAGGCTGAATGCAAAATATGGAATAGGGATCAGGTATTGTATCCCAGCCTCCTTGGGAACACCAGATAGTGACATTTTTCTGGTTGCCTACATCTATTTGTAACCTGTGCTTTCTCTAATTTGTGCCCTGAGGTACCCTTCATGTACTGGCAGGTATGGTAAGATATTGGTCCAGTATTAGGGTATATGAGTTCCCAGGGCTTATCTAGTTGTCCCTCTTCCATATCCTCCCCATGTTGTCGACCTCTGTCTCAAGTGCCACCTTTAGTTGGAGAAGGCTGAGGAGAATGATTGAAGATAAAATACAGAATGAAATGAGAAATACTTGGTGAGGACAGGGACCACAGAGTTGTTATCTCTGGAGAGTTTAGTCCTAGAAAGTCCTGAGGAACATGGTGTCAATAATAAACTTAGGAATATAACCCATGATATAAACAGTTTAAAAGAAAAGACACATGATTATCTCATTAGATGCTGAAATAAGCCTTTGACAAAATCCAAGACTTCTTCATATAAAAGTCTTGCAGAGACTTGGAGAGACAAGGCATATGCCTAAACAGAATAAAAGCATCACACAGCAAGTTGATAGCCAACATCAAACTAATTGGAGAGAAAGATAAAGCAATTCCACTAAAATCAGTCATAACAAAGCTGCCCACTATCTCTGGTTTTATTCAATATAGTACTTAAAGCTTTAGTCAAAGCAATAAAACAACAAAAGGAAAACAAGGGGATACCAATTGGAAAGGAAGAAATCAATGCATCACTATTTGCAGATGATATGATAGTAAATGCAAGTGACCCACCCCCAAATTCTACCAGAGAACCCCCTGATAAACATCATCGGCAAAGTGACAAGATAGAAAATTAACTAAAAATAAATCTGTAGTCCTCCTACATATATACAATAAATGGAATAATAAATAAATTAGGGAAACCCTTCACAAGAGCCAGAAATAATATAAAATACCCTGGTATAACGGACTGATAGATCTGTATGAAAAGAACTTTGAGACTTTGAAGAAAGAAATTAAAGAAGATATGAAAAGACTGGAAAGATCACCAGTGCTCATGGATTGGTAGGATTAACATAGTAAAAATGCCCATGTAACATAAAGCAATCTATAAATTTAATGTAGTTTCCATCAAAATTCCAACATACTTATTTACAGACCTTAAAAATAACAATTCTCGAATTTTTATGGAAAAACAAAAACATCCAGTACAGCTAAAAACAAATCTGTACAATAAAAGAACATCAGGAGGAATCATCACCCCGACCTCAAGCTGTATCGTATTGGGAAAAAAACAGGTTGATCAATAGAAGCCATTCAAAGTCCAAGAAATAAAACAGGCATTTGATTTTTACAAGAAAGCCAAAAACATAAAATAGGGGTGGCATCTTTTAAAAAATAGTGCTGGTCTAACTGGATATCTGCTTATAGAAGAATGTGAATAGACCCATATCTATCACCCACACAAAACTCAAGTTTAAGTGGATCAAAGACCTCAACATAAGAGTATACACCATAAATCTAATAGACAAGAAAGTGGGGAATTGCTTTGAACTCATTGGCACAGGAGAAAACTTCCTGGACAGAACACTAACAGCTCAGGCACTAAGATCAACAATTAATAAATAGGACTTCATAAAACTGAAAAGCTTTTATAAGGCAAAGAACAATGTCATTAAGAAAAAACAGCACCCTACAGACGGTGAAAAGATTTTCACCAACACTACATCTGATTAGGATGAGGGGTTAATATATAAAATATATAAAGAACTCAAGAAATTAACATCACTAAACCTAATAACCCAATTTAAAATGAAGTACAGAGCTAAACAGAGAATTCTTGACAGAGAACTCTCTAATATCTGGGAAGCAATGAAATGTTCAGCATCCTTAGTCATCAGGAAAACACAAATCAAATGACTCTGGGATTCCTTCTTGCATCTATCTGTACTGAGAATTTTGGTTTCTTTAAAAAACACAAAAATATTATAAGAATATATTTTTATTTTAATCTCAAGTGTGGAATATGAGGCTGCTCCAGCTTGTCCACAGCAGCAAACTATAATTTCCCACATGCTCTAGCAGGGGCATGATTTTGCAAGCTGCAAATAGTTTTCATGAGTGTATTATGTTTGGAATTCTGGGGACACTTCAGAAGTATACAAATGCTAAAACCCCAATTAGTGTGTTGTGGGTTGGTTGGTGTTGGCCATTGTTAAGTAGTTGTGAACAAATAATAAATGGTAACAACAAGATATTAGATATCCTCATGGTGAAGATCAAGCTTTCCCCAAGGAACTCAACATGACTAATCAACAGGAAGTTTACTCAGTATTCTAATGATAACATTACCCCCTTTCCCTTCTATTCCTTTTTGTCTCCTATCTAGTGGGCTGAAAGGTAAAAAAGGATGGAGAAAGGTAGAAGAAAAAAGAATCACCAAAGCAGCCAAAGTCCGGCTACCCCTGTTAGAGTGGCTAAGATAAAAAACTCAAGCAGTGGCTCCTGCTGGTGAGAATATGGAGCAAGGGGAATACTCTTCCATTGCTAGTGGGAGTTCAAACTTGTAAATTTTTTGGGTTTACACTTTGGAAATCAATTTTGTGTTTACTCAGAAAACTCTAGACCAAACTATACCACTCCTGGTCATATACCCAAAAGATGCTCCAACATCTCACAAAGACACTTGCTCAGCTATGTTCATAGAATTTTTATTCATAATAACCAGAAACTAGAAGCAAACTAAATGCCCCTCAACTAAAGAATGGATAAAGAAACTATGGTACATCTAAACAATGGAATCTTATTAAGTTATTTAAAACCAAGACATCATGAATTTTGCAGGCAAATGGATAGAACTTACAAATATCATCCAGAGTGAGATAACGCAGTCCCACAAGGATGTGCATTGTATGTATTCACTTATAAGTAGATATTACCCATAAAATACAGGTACCATGTTATACTCCAAGACTCAAAGAAGCTAAACAAGGAGGAAGACTCAAACAGGTATATTGAATCTCTTTTATCAAAGGAAATAAAATTGTCTTAAGAGGCAAACAGAGAGAGGGAACTGAGAAGGAGGTGAAATGTGGGGAGAGTGGGAGATTCAGTATCAGATGTAGGGAAGGACAAGAGAGATGGCTAGATGGCCAGGAAAAATAATGGAAATCTGCAACTAACAGGAGTGAGGAGGTGTGGGGCATCCCCAGGATGAGATATGGTCTTGGACAAAGGAGGTACACAAGAATCGATGGTGGTGACCTTAGCTGTGACTCACTATACTTAGCATATGGAACCTGAAGTGGCTACCTCCTTAAGCCAGACAGGAACTCCAGTGGAACAATAGAGACATCAACCCACCCATAAAACTTTCAACTCAAAATTTATCTTGTCTACAAGTAATGCAGTCATGGAATAGGGAGCAGAGCCTGACGGAATGGACAACCAGTAGATTAGCCTGTGAATCTGCATGTGGCCTGCCACTGAAGTGTAAAAGCACTGCTGGGGAGGCAAACTGTGGGAAGTGCACTTGACTATGTCTACTCTGTACAGCCATTGTCAGTTGGTGGGCTTTAGGAAAGCACCAAGACATGGTCTAGGGGTGGGAAAATGCAACCTAGGATGTGGGAGGCCAAAGCTGGGGATCCCAAGCTTCTTGACATCCAGTTGCTGGTGAAGTGCTGCACAGAGGAGTCTGGAAATGAGGATCAGTGGTTCACTGGAAACTCTAGCTTTGTTCATTGTTGATTGTCCTTAGCTTAGCAGACACTCAGAGAGGCCTTCTATGGGAGACTCAGATTACAGCTCTGTAGGCAAGGGCCTTTCCATGCTTCCCACAGCAGTTCTGCTGAAAGATACAGCCCATGTTTATCCTTATCACTTACTGGCTGTTCATCATAGGAAATGGACACATATCAACGCCTTAGGGCAGACCAGAGATTAAATAACTATTGCAGGAAGGAGTGTCTGGGAAGGGAAGCTTATTGGCTAAAACCTCAGGGCCTCTAGATACCCCATTAGCAAGAAAATAGGAAAATAGGGGCTACAGAACCACAGATCACATTTCCTATGTGGGAAGTGTGGCACATATTCCAAGCCAGGACTCTAGCAGGGAGCAGGGAGCTGCCTATCATTTCAGGTGAATGCCTGGGTGCCAGGGACTCTGAATCCTCTCAACCATATCAAATTTCAGGACATGATTCACTGTTCCACACCAGCCCAACTTGAGGTACATACCATTGGCAAGCACCAATCACTGTTAATGATACTCTGTCATGCTGGCAGATAGGTGCAAGTTGTTCTCAGAGAGGCTCCACCCAGCAGCTGACTCAGACCAATACAGACACCCATAGCCAAACTGGATGAATCTTGTAGACTCTTACAGAAGAACAGGATGAAGAATTGTGGGTTTTGAAGAGGATAGGAACTCCACAGGAAGAAAAACAAAGTCAAATAACCTGGATCACCAGAGTCTGAACCACCAACTAAAGAACATACACAGGCTAGACCTAGGCCTCCCACTCATTGGTAGCAGATGTGCAGCTTAGTCTTCATGTGGATCCTGAACAACTGGAATGGGGCTATCCCAAAATTTGTTGCCTGTACATGGGATATGTTCTTCTAGCTGTGCAGCTTTGTCTAGCCTCAGTCAAAGAGGGAGCATGTAGCCTTGCAGAGATTTGAAGTGCTGTGGTGTGAGGGGAGAATACCCAGGAAGGCCTCCAACTGTCCATAAGAGAAAGAAAGGAGGAAGGATTATGGGAGGAGATGGCAGGAAAAGGGCAGTAAGCAGAATGTAAAGTGAATAAGTAGGAAAAAATAATTTAATTTTTAAAAATATGACATTGGTACAAAGACATACATGTAGACTAATGGAACAAAATCACCGACCCAAGTATAAGCACATGTAACTTTAGCCACTTAATATTATAATCAAGAGAATACTCTGGAAGAAAGAAATTATCTTTAAGAAATGGTGTTACAATTACTAGATGTCTACATGTAGAAAAATTCAATTAGACCCATATCTATCATCTTGCACAAATACTAACCCCAAATAGATCAAAGACCTGAATTTGAAACACTGAAACTTCTCAAAGAAAACAAATCAGTGCTATACAGGATACAGATGTAGGAAACCTCTTCTTAAACAGGACTCCATTTGTCCAAGAATAGAGGCCAGCAATTGAAAAGCAGGACCTCATGAAACTAGAAAGATTCTTAATAACAATAGAAATAATCAGGTAGAGAAGAAGCACAAAGAATGAAAGAATCTGAGCCAGCTATACAGGACTGATTTTTAATATCCAGAATTTTTAAAAAGTCAAACTAAATAAGCCATCCAAAAATGGGATTAGAACCTGAATAGAGAGTTCTCAAAAGATGAAAATTTTCAGTAAGAAATATCTCAGATAAAGTTTGTCATTCCTAGCAACTAGGGAAATGCAAATCAAAACATCTTTGAAATTTTATCCTATTCATCAGAATGACAAAGATGAATTGAATAACTCACCATAAATGAAGAAGGGGATATGGATTAAGCGACATTCATTCAGTCTTGGTGGGACTGCAATCTTCTACAACCACTATGGACATCAGTGTGGAGAATTCTGAAAATACTAAAAACAAATATACCATATGACCCAGCTATATCACTTCTTAGCATATATCCAGAGGACTCAACATTATACCCTACAGGTACTTGCTTGGCCATGTCCACTGCTGCTCTATTAACAATAGCTCTGAAATGTAAATAACTTAAATGTCCTACAACCAACAAATGGGTAATGAAATCATTGTACATACACACTAAAGAATACCATTCAGTCATAAAAAAAAGAAATCACGAACTTTTCAGTAAAATGAACTAACCTGGAAAAGAACATGTTGGATGTGGTAACCCAGACAGATAAAGGTTGCCTGTTCTTTCTTATTGGAAGATCTTAGTTACAAATCTTCAGATGTGAAAACATAGCCTGTAGTAGCTTCAGCAACCAGAAAGTTAATATTGAAGCATTGCCAAAATAAGGGGTTAGCAACAATAGAGAGAGACTAGCAGAGTACTAGCTAGAAATCTAATCAAGAATGGAAAAGGGAGCTCTTTAGTGAGCAGCAAGGAGATAAATACAGAAGAATAGAGAAAAAGAGTAAAGGGGACCCTTTAAGCATTTGTCCTTATATCCACAGATGTGTGTAGTTTTTAATGCCTCTATTTGCAACACAGGAATAACACTACAGAAAATCACAACTAATCAAAATACAGAGTTATGGAGCCTAGACCTAATGAATACATCCACAAAACACTTACATCTAAGGCTCAAGAAACTTTCTGAAAGAGGAGGTGGAAAGATTTAAGAGCCAGCGGATCAGCAACTTTGCTGTAAGATTGTATCTCCTAGTAGCATCAGAAACTACACTTATGGTCTCATCAACAAATGTGAGCTAAATGAGGAAGGAACCAAAAAACATACTGAACTCCACCAAGAAAACTCCATGAATCCTATATAAAACAAATGAAAACTCTATAGGCAAGTAAGCAAAGATAAGAAACATGGCCCTCCTCAGGGAAGAACATAGCAATTTGAATTTGTTCCTCAGTGCCAAATGGTCGTGACTGAATACACATGTACAAGTAACATTATGTGGACACAACAGGTTATGTTTCATAGATAGATGATAGACAGGTAGATAGATTAGATAGAGAGAGATAGACACAGAGAGATGATAGATAGAAGATAGACGAGAGAGAGAGAGAGAGAGAGAGAGAGAGAGAGAGAGAGAGAGAGATGCATAGTTTATGTAAAAAAAAAAAAAGTACATGAATTTGAAGGAGAGCCAGAATGATATATAGGATGATTTGGGAGGAGGAAATAGTACAGAGAAATCTTGTAACTTAAATGCAACCTTAAAAATAAAATAAGCAATAAAGTAACAATAATAACATGACACAGTTACAGACATGTAGATGAATGCAACATAATTGAAGATCCAAACATGAGGACATAATCAGTCATCTAATTAATATTTGACAACGATGCCACAAACTTCAAAATGGAGCTTCAACAAATGGTGCTGGAAAATTATTAGTCCTGGTGAAGAAGAATATAAACAGCTCCATGTCTAACACCTCATTCAAAAACTCCATGTGAATCGAAGAACTACATATGAAATTGCTATAGAAAACATGAGGAACACCCGACATGATACAGACTTAGGAAGAACTTTCTGAATAAAACTATGTTAGCCCAAGAATTGAAGCCAACAATTGACAAGCAGGACCTCACAAAACTAAAATGTACCTGTACAGTGAAAAAAAACAAACAAACAAGCAAGTTGGTGAAGAGGAAGGCCACAGAATGTGAGGGAATTGTTACCAGCTAAATATTAAACAGGAGATAAATACACAGAATGCATGAAGAATTCAATGAATGGCCTATGAAAATGAGTAAGAAATATCTCAAAAAACTGTTATGCTAGCAGTTAAAGAAAAGCAAATCAAAACAAGATTACATCTTACCCCAGTCACAACAGCTAAAATCAACAAATCAACTGGTAACAATGCTGTCAGAGTGCAGAGAAAGGGAACACTCGTTCGATGTTGATAGGCTTACACACTGGTACAGCCACAATGCAAATTAGTGTGGAGATATATCAAATAGCTAAAAATAACTCAACCATATGACTCAGTTATACCATTCTTCAGATTATACCCAAAGAACTGAACATCCTACTTGACAGGTACATTTTTTTTTAATTTTATCTTTTAGCCTTGTTTATTTTCTCTGGAGTTCCACATATTAATTGAAATTTCTGTTTCTTTTTTTTAATTGGATATTTTATTTACATTTCATATGTTATCCCCTTATGCCATCCACCACCCACACAGAAACACCCTATCCCCTCACCCATCCTCCTGCTTCTCTGCAGACATACCCCTACCTACGCCCTCACTCCCACCTCCCCACCCTCAAATTTCCACCCCCTGGGGCGTCCAGCCTTCATGTGACCAAGGATCACTTCTCCCACCTATGCCCAGCAGAGCCCTCCACCCTTACATATATACCTGAAGCCATGGATCCCTCCCTAAGTGCTCCCAGGCTGGTGGTTTAGACCCTGGGAGCTGTGGTTGGTTGGTATTGTTGCTCTCCTCATGGGGCCACAAACCCTTTCAGCTCGAATGGTCTTCACTCTAACTCCTCCATTGGGAACCCCATGATTAGTTCAATGGCTAGCTGTGAGCATCTGCCTCTGAATATGTCAGACTCTTGAAGACCTCTGAGGAGACATCCATATCAGGCTCTTATCAGCATGCACTTCCTGACTTCCACATCAGCATCTACCTTTGGTGACTGCACATGGGATGGATGCTCAGGTGGAATGGTCTTCAGATGGCCCCTCCTCAGTTTCTGTCCCTCACTTTGTTTCCATATTTACTCCCTTGAGTATTTTGTTGCTCCTTCTAAGAAGGACCAAAGCAACACCACTTGGTCTTCCTTCTTCATGAGCTTCATGTGGCCTGTGACTTGAATCTTGGGTATTTCAAGGTTCTGGGCTAATATCCAATAATCAGTGAGTGAATACCATGTGTGTTCTTTTGTGACTAGCTTACCTCACTCAGGATGATATTTTGTAGTTCCATCCATTTGCCTAAGAATTTCATGAATTCATTGTTTTTAATAGCTGAGTAATACTCCATTGTGTAAATATACCACATTTTTTGTATCCATTCCTCAGTTGAAGGACACCTGGGTTTTTTCCAGCTCCTGGCTATTATAAATAAGGCTACTATGAACATAGCTGAGCATATGTCCTTCTTATATGTTCGAGCATCTTCTGGGTATATGCCTAGGAGTGGTTTAGCTGGATCCTCAGGTAATGCTATGTCCAATTTTCCAAGGAACCACCAGACTGATTTCCAAAATGCACCATCTTTCAATCCCACCAACAATGGAGAAGTGTTCCTCTTTCTCCACACCCTCACCAGCATCTACTATCACCTGAGTTTTTAAGCTTAGCCAGTCTGACTGGTGTGAGATGGAATCTCAGGGTTGTTTTGATTTGCATTTCCCTGAGGACTAAGGATACTGAACATTTCTTTAGGTGCTTCTCGGCCATTCGAGTTTCCTCCGTTGAAAATTTTTTGTTAAGCTCTGTAACCCATTTTTTAATAGGGTTATTTGGTTGTCTGGAGTCTAATTTCTTGAGTTCTTTGTATATATTGGATATTAGCCCTCTATCAGATGTAGGATTGGTAAAGATCTTTTCCCAATTTGTTGGTTGTTGTTTTGTCCTATTGACAATGTCCTTTGCCTTACAGAAACTTTGCAATTTTATGAAGTCCCATTTGTCAATTCTCGATCTTAGAGCATATGCCATTGGTGTTCTGTTCAGGAACTTTTCCCCTGTGCCCAAGTATTCAAGGCTCTTCCCCACCTTCTCTTCTATTAGTTTCAGTGCATCTGGTTTTATGTGGAGGTCCTTTATCCACTTAGACTTGAGCTTTGTACAAGGAGATAAGAATGGATCAATTTGCATTCTTCTACATGTCCTCCAGTTGAACCAGCACCATTTGCTGAAAATGCTGTCCTTTTTCCACTGGACACTTTTAGCTCCTTTGTCAAAGATCAAGTGACCATAGGTGTGTGGGTTCATTTCTGGGTCTTCAATTCTATTCCATTGATCTTCCTGCCTGTCTCTGTACCAATACCAGGTAGTTTTTATCACTATTGCTCTGTAGTACAGCTTGAGGTCAGGAATGGTGATTCCTCCAGAAGTTCTTTTATTGTTGAGAATATTTTTCGCTATCCTGGGTTTTTTGTTATTCCAAATGAATTTGAGAATTTCCTTTTCTAACTCTGTGAAGAATTGAGTTGAGATTTTAATGGGGATTGCACTGAATCTATAGATTGCTTTTGGCAAGATGGCCATTTTAATTATATTGATCCTGCCAATCCATGAGCATGGGAGATCTTTCCATCTTCTGGGATCTTTGATTTCTTTCTTCAGGGACTTCAACTTCTTGTCATACAGGTCTTTCACTTGCTTGGTTAGATTCACACTAAGGTATTTTATATTATTTGCAACTATTGTGAAGGGTGTCATTTCCATAATTTCTTTTTCAGTCTGTTTATCTTTCATGTAGAGGAAGGCTACTGATTTGTTTGAGTTGATTTTATAACCAGCCACTTTGCTGAAGTTGTTTATCAGGTTTAGGAGTTCTCTGATGGAAATTTGGGGTCACTTAAGTATACTATCATATCATCTGCAAATAGTGATATTTTGACTTCTTCCTTTCCTATTTGTATCCCTTTGACTTCTTTTTGCTGTCTAATTGCTCTGGCTAGGACTTCCAGTACTATATTGAATAGGTAGGGGGAGAATGGGCAGCCTTGTCTAGTCCCTGATCTTAGTGGGATTGCTTCAATTTTCTCTTCATTTAGTTTGATATAACCTGAGTTTTTAATCTTAGCCATTCTGACTGGTGTGAGATGGAATCTCAGGTTTGTTTTGATTTGCATTTCCCTGAGGACAAAGGATACTGAACATTTCTTTAGGTGCTTCTCAGCCATTCCAGTTTCCTCCATTGAAAATTCTTTGTTAAGCTCTATACCCCATTTTTTATTAGGGTTATTTGGTTGTCTGGAGTCTAATTTCTTGAGTGCTTTGTATATATTGGATATTAGCCCTCTATCAGATGTAGGATTGGTAAAGATCTTTTCCCAATTTGTTGGTTGTTGTTTTGTCCTATTGACAATGTCCTTTGCCTTACAGAAACTTTGCAATTTTATGAAGTCCCATTTGTCAATTCTCGATCTTAGAGCATACCCCATTGGTGTTCTGTTCAGGCATTTTTCCCTGTGCCCAAGTATTCGAGGCTCTTCCCCACCTTCTCTTCTATTAGTTTCAGTGCATCTGGTTTTATGTGGAGGTCCTTTATCCACCTAGACTTGAGCTTTGTACAAGGAGATAAGAATGGATCAATTTGGCTTTAAAAACAAAAGAGGGGGGAACGGTACCCCCTCAGAAGGAGTCCCCCTGAAATACTCTCCATCATGCCTTGTTCACTTTTATGTCTCTAAAACTGAAAGCTCATGGCAAATCTGCTGCTGACTGCCTCTGGCACCACCAAGACCAACAAAACTTTGCCACACATATGGGGAAGGACCCTCTTACCCTTAAAGGAAATGGCCCAGACCCAGTTCCCTTATGCGGCCGAGAACTGATATGCCTGTCCGATACCACAGAAGGCACAGCTAACCGGCTACCAAAAAGATTAATGAAAAAAATAAATACCCCCACAAAGCCAGGCCCAACCATAAATACAATGAATAACAATTTACATCCAGGAAAGAGAAATCTCCCTGAGAATCCCCTTCTTTTTCCTTTCCAGGTAAAAATGAATCACCCGTGATGTCTGTGGTTAGAAGTTCTAATCCAGATGCTGGCCTCCGAACTTATACTACTCAGACCTTTGAAGGGCCACTGACAAGAACATCAAACAGCTAGAGATTGACATCACTAATCTGAAGAAATCCCTCTTTTCGCTGTCTAAAGAGACCTCCTAAAATCGCAAAGATCCTTATTGGACTTGATTCACTCTAGTACAATAGAAAAAAGACTGTATACAGCTCTTGACTGTGTACAATCCTCAAAGAAGAAGGTTGCCTTTACATAGACAAGACAAGGAGGGTTAAAGAGAGCATGAAATAGGTAGTGAAGCCTAAGAAAAATCTGAGAGAGAAAGAGACAGATGAATGCTGGTACAAGAATTGATTTGCAGCCTCTCCAAGGTTGTCAACCCTATTTCCTTCCATCTTGGGACCATTATTTGGGTTCTTTTTGCTTTTTTCTGCTGGTCCCTGGGCCTCAAATAGGCGGACTAACTCTGTGATACAACAGATAAATAAATTGGTAGCAAAACCTATTCAGATACATTATCATAAGTTAGCTATGGAGGACCACGAGACTCAAGATGAGGTTGTTACTTTATACAGGGTGTCTCCAAAACCCATCTCCACCCAACCTAAAAGGGGGGACTTCTGCCCCTAGACCAAGCAGAGAGAGGCCACCCAGAACACCCTCTGACAGGCGATCTGAATTCTTGCTTAGGCTGCGAGGCTAAGCACTGCAAGGGAATATCAAGAAAAGATAAAAATATCTATCTGGGTTCCCTGAGGGACAAGCCTGACTGCATAGGGGTTGATGTCAAAAGTATCCCCTCTCCAGGAAAAAGACATCGGTATGGGTATAGCCCTCATGCCTCACTGGACAACGACAGGGGGACTGGAACCATTACAAGGTCCCCTTCAAATACTGGAGGTCAGGCCTCTATCCCCACCTTCACAAGTTTAGAATTGCCACAGCCCTTCTATACTTAGAGAAGTGAGGAGATGTCAGCGGCAGCCCTGCTTACACACTGTAGGCCTAAAATCAGCCATAGGCCTAAAATCAGCAGTGAGCCTGTCATACATGTATACTAACACCAAGTCTTGGGTCTCAGTGGAAGAACATTGAAACAGATGGCTATAAGCTAATGTCAACGGGCAACTTTTGTGGAAATTTATAAGCCTGAGTGGTCATGGACCTTGTAAATAGGTAGCCTTGGCAG